TGACACTGTTCTAATTTCTTCAATTAAAAGTCCACAATGCATCTCCGAACACTTAGCTTTGAGAGGAACATCCAAGAAAGTATACAAAATTATTACTAAACTTACTGATAAAAGTTAGTTTGTTCCCAATGATGTGTTTCTCTATCTGCTTATTTCCTTCGTTATCGGTAGGAGATCTGTCACTTTTATGGCTCTAAAGATTCGTTTCCTTTTTTCTTGCGATAGCTATGTTTGGCCGGGATATGTGTGAAACATACTGTGATACTTAGTTGGGACAAGGAGTATGTATTCGCTTAAGTTAATATGTTAGTGAGTACACATTCATGGATACTTTGAAAGTAAACCGAAAAATGCGAAGTGCTGTTTGGATATCAATCCAAAAGGTAAGGTGTCATAAACAAGCATCAAAATATAAAAAAGAGATGGTTCGTTTTTTGGAAAACTTTTGACTTTTTGAAAAATGCTCAATATCTCGGCTCGATAAGGTTGTGGAACCTTCGGAATGTTATTTTCGGAATCACCGGATGCCAGTGACTATAGAAAAGTGTACGTAATAATTAAAATTATTGATTATGAGAATAATTGCTGGGGTTTTCGGAAGCCCTTGTTGCACGGATACGCATCCAAAAATCTTGTCACGATTCCTGACTAGGCACACCATAGCTCATAAAAACTGTTGGAACAAAAGTTGTTCTTTGTGGAATAAGCGGGACAGTTTTCTTCTCTAACGAAAAAAACTTTAAAAGATTATTAGTTAAAAGATTTTAAAATTCAAAAGTTTTTAATTTCCATTTGACTTCTGTCCAAAATTTTATTTTGAAATTCCCTTCCGCTTATTCCATGCAGAATGGCATCAGCTGTAAGTTCACTAACGAAAAGTTTTCTTGGAAATTCTTTGTTATCGTACGATCGCTGGCAAGTTTTTCAAAAATGACTTTTTATGCTTAAATGTAGAAAAAACACTCTTTTTACAATTAAAAAATCTATGTCGTTGGAAAACTTTTTAAGGCTTATTATATACAACCAAAGGGTGTCTACAAAATAACCTTGCAGCGACATTGATCCGACATTCCAATAAAATATAATGAATTATTTTACAATACCGTCGAAACCGAGATCTCAATTAAATGTAATTATTAATTATTGAATTACTCCTAAACTGTGCATTTCAGACATGATAACGAAGGTCAATCAAACACTTCAGATCATAGCCAGGCTCTGGACTCTATGTGCGACAGATGCTTTTAATTATGAAGAAACTGGACAAGTTGATATGAAGTCATGCAACTCTAATGGTATCAGCAATATTTACGTATTCATATGATATGGTATGCTCAATATCTCGGCTCGATAAGGTTGTGGAATCTTCGAAATGTTATTTTCGGAATGAGCAGATGCCAGTGACTATAGAAAAGTGTATTTTAGGGTTCTTGAGCCGCGCAAAGTCTTTCAAAAAGTTTCATTTTCAGGAGGTGCTTGCTCGGAAGGGAGATCTCTTGATCAAAAAAATATCAAGTCTATCTCCTGAGGCGAGGGATCCTTGAATTTTATGGCATTAGAGTTGCCAACAAACGTAGAACAAAGTTATATATCGAAACAAAAAAAACTGTTTTTCGTTCTCCAGATATTTAGTTGTCATTAAAAATGAGGCATTTTCTCCCATAATCGGTCAACTGATTTTTAGTACAAAATATATGTGAAGATAGAGTAAAATCTTCTCTACAAAATGCTGGAGATCCGAACTATCTTTCTTCGTTTTCAAGTTATTCAAAAAGCTTTTCAAAAACTTTTTCATCCGACCATAACAACAGACCATTGGCTATCAAGCAATGTATGAATGACTTTTCTAAGATTATTTTTGACTGAGCTACAAGCTTTTTAAAATGAGGACTAGGATTGTAAATTTTAATTAAAATTTAAACTTAATTAATTAATAACTCGGAGAATAGTTATTAGTTCATCGAAAAAGTGAAGGACTTATATAATCAGGTGTCCTCTTCAAATTGACATAGTTTGAGGGCACATATATGGGGTGTGGACCCCTTTAACATCGCTAATGGAACTGTCAATGACTAACATCCAATGGGAGTTACGGTGAAATTTTATAATTTTGTGAATATTCGTAGCTTTAAGCGTATGTTTCGGAAGATTTAACGTGGTACATAAGAAAAAATATTTGAGAGATCACGTTTTATCATAATATGTTGGGATAGATTGCGAAGAAAAAGCGCATTCTTCTCTACAAACAATGTGCTTTTTATGCGTTCCAATGAGCTCTGAAGATATTTTTGTTTTGATATAAAACGCGTTCGAGATGAGCAGGATAGGAAGAGATTGTCTTACGACCCATAGAAATAATCATTAGAGGTGGTGTCACTGGATGGATTATCCAGATTGTGCTTATTCTGCACTTTAGTATTTGAGTTTTGCTTGAACTAAAGCCAAGAAATTAATATTTCAAGATTAATCAGTTTCATATGATGATACTGATGACACTATTACACAAATATTTCTGAACAGTACCTCCAACTTAGAACCTATTTCTTAGTCCTGGTAATTTCTAACTTAGCATAATACACTCTGATTATCGCAACACCACGCGATGTATAGATATTGATAAAACTAGTTGACATTTGTTCTAGACTTTAGTTAGATATTAAAAACGCCAACGAAGAAAGCGCTTTAGTTCTATTCAATATATTCGCTTAAATTTCCATTGTGTTTCACCTTGGTGGAAAACAATCATTAGCTGTGTGATCGACGACTCTATTCTTCGTGACTTGTTCACTCCGACACAAGCAACGTTACCACTAAAACGCAAATGTCAACTAGTGACGACTAACAGCGGGGAAGTATAAGCATTACACCTTGATCATGGGAATTATGCATTAGCTGCGTGATCCCGGACTCCACCCTTCGTGACTTCTTCTCCCATCCAGAAACAACTTTATCACTGAACTTAAATATCAGCTAGTGACCACTCTCAGCGAGGAAATATATGAATTAGACCTTGGTGGGAATCTTCCATTAGCTTCATCATCTAGAAGTCCACTCTTCCTGACTTCTTCACCCAGACAGAAACAACGTGTTTACTCAACTGAAATGTCAACTGGTGACGACTATCATCCGCAAGGAAATATATTATTATTGTGATTATTGGTGTGTGCTATTCTTGTGGTTGGCTGGTCTAGTGTTCGCGAGTTTTGTGTGGCTGAGATGGGCATGATACAGGTGAGATCATTGGTCGTGTGGCGGCAACATGTTGCTGTTTGGTTGATGAAGTACGAAGTAGCCTGGAATAGGTCTTATTTTTATTATTGTGTTTATCGTTGTTGCAGTTTTTTGTAAGATGCACTCGAGTCAAACTTTGAATTTTTTTTTCTTTTGACTGTTTTATACACCATTCGATTGAGAATTGAACGGCGATCGCTAATATGTGGTATTGAACGGGTCATGATACAGTTCATCGTTCGATCGTCTGCAGCTCAGACGGCTACGTGTTTGCTTCTTCATTCTAGGTACCCATATTCGAACCACGCTCAAAGCATGTAAGTAATATGTTTTCTTTCGTTCTTAACTTGTGATTCTTTACTCTACAGTTCTTCCTGATCACAGATATGTTATAGGGATAGCATAGATTCAAAACTGCGTTCAAATTCATTCAAAATTTACATTTTTTCAAATTTACATTTTCTAACGTGTTTGAACGCATTAGAAACTAATGCGTTTAGTCGATGTTAAAATAAATGCATTCAGACGCGTTCGTTTCTAACGCGTTTCTACCACAAAAATGGTGCAAAACCGTTCAAACGCGTTAGGAACTAACGTAAATAACGCGTTTTTGTAGCAGAAAATGACGTCCTGGGACAGTTGTGACTACCGGACATTTGAGTTCAGTGAGGACGTTGTTTGTCGGCGTGAAAAAATCACGAAGAATGGACTCGTGGATCGCGCAGCTAATGAATAAATCCAAGTAATGCCACGAATCCACATTGTGATTCTTATCAATCATCATCCTGATCCTATAGCTATCATCAGAAATAAGATAAACCACTCATCGATCACGCAGCTAATGGATAATTCCAACAAATGTATAATTCATATATTTCCTCGCTGATAGTCGTCACTAGTTGACATTTGAATTCAATGATAACGTTGTTTGTGTCAGGGTTAAAAAGTCCTACTGATAACTTTTTTTGCGTAGGTTATAATTATGAATACGAATACGATGAACAAAAGTGATAATTTCTTGGAAACAATATCAACCTACTTGTAGAACTTCCAGTAGTTTTCGAAGAAAGGAGGAGTGCAGGTTTATACGCACAATCTCAGTGTTTCTGGTCTTTTTTACCCCACCTCTTTAGCAATGACCCCGAAAGTCCTACGCATATGGCGATGGTCTTATCGTCTACTGATAATGACCTTAAAGTCACCCGTCTCTGACAATGATTTTAGAATCCCTATCTGTGATCTTATGTCTTAAGGATAGAACTAATTCTCATTTTCTTCACAATTTCTCAATTCACAAATTCTCATTTTTCTTCTTCAATAATTTAACAACTAGTGGCTAATATTGCATCATATGGAAAATACTCCCCGTGTGACTTATATTCATATTTTCAGGTGCTGGTAATTCTGTGAAAAATGTGAACTCGGCTTATTTCGGACAGCTACAGTGAGACTGACTCTTCCATCTTGTGTTTGACATCGAACATTTTATTGTCAAAGCCGTACTACCCTTATAGAGTGATTTTGGAAAAATTGTGCTTCAAATTGGTCTTTTATCTTCTATTCAGGGTGCTGTACTAATCTGGAAAAAGATTTATTACAAATCAACCAAACTGAAAAGTGGGAGATCCAATATTCTGACATTCAAAAGAATGCACGGGTAAGCAATTCTGATATAAATAATGCTGGTTGAAATTCACTTTTTCAATTTTTGGTTCTATACAACATACACGTTTAGATACACAGAGTCAACACGTTTGTTAATTTCGTTCTTATTTTCGTTTCTCTTTTTGTTGTTTCATTGGTTTTGGATTTGTCTGTTGTTGTTGTAATGCAGTTCGAACATCTTGAAGCCATCTACTAATATAATCATATTTTGTTTTTTCAAGAAATGTGGATGATAAACTTTTTTCGTCGCCATTTATATTTGAACTACTGCTATTATATTTATTTTGAGTAATATTTGAGATTCCAAGATCTTTATTTACTATTGTAGATTTTGGTTGCGAATTTCCAAATGTCGTTTGTTGTGTTGATAACATTTGTTGTCGCTGTCGATTTGAACCGTTCCAATTTGTTTGACGTAAGTTTTGCTCAATTGTATCATATTTTCGTAAAGACAGTGATCTTTGAATTGGTGCTGAACTGGTATACAAACGAAATGTTTTTGTAAATGATGAACATCGATCGGAATGATTAGAAGAACGTATTTTATTATTTGAATTTATTGTATCATGTTCTGGATCAGTCACAGGTAGTTTTCTATGATTAAGTAATGGATTAGAAAGAATTGGATTTTTTAATGGGATTATTTTTTGCTCGGACGGCAAAGATATTTTAATAGGAAGAATTGTTTGTTGTTGCTTATGTTCTTGTCGATCTTCATCCGATGAACGCGTTTGAGAGGCCGATGATGATGGAATTTGTTGTGAAATATCTGCTGTATTAGTGTTAGTTAAAGGTATTGACGCCAATTCTGATTTCGAATCAGAATTTATTGTTAAATTGTGAAGAGGAGATGGTTGATTTGAGTTAGAGGTTAATATTAAGGGTTGTTGTTGTTTAACATGTAGAAATAATTGTTTTTGTTCACCGGGTATAATTCGAGTCTGTAAGAGTGGCGTAGTAGTGCAGGAACGAGTTTGTCTTGTAGCAACACTTTCTAATTCGTTCAAAATTTTATCATTTATTGGTACAATAGAAATTGTGTTTCTACTCTTTGATCGTTGTGGAAATTTTATGAATGCCGAACTATTTGCAATTCCTACACGCATTGGTCGATTAAAACGATCTTGTGTAACATTTGTGCAATAGGTAGATGGGAAACTATAGGATGAAGACGGACGATTGGTTGTTGTTGTTGCTATTCTTTCTATCATGTCGGCAGTCATCTTTAGATTGAACTAAAAAAAAGAAAAATCTAAATTTAAATAGTTACAGTCTTTCCCTGAATTTAGAGTAGTTTTAAGTTCAGATTTTTGCTGTCAATAAACATATGGCTAAACTTTAAATAAATATGTCATTATTTTACTCATAAGTACGCTGTAACCGTAGGCGATATACATATTTTATCATAATTACTGTAGTAGACATGTTTACAAAGGAAATGCATTGACATATATTCGTTTAATGACAGGTTATACGCTTTTTTTTCATAGTAGTACAAACTCAGAATGAGTACTGTGAAAGTACGACTTTAATGAGTAGATAAGCCGTTAAACTAAGATTAGGTATGTGTTATTGAAAATAACCAACGATTATAACAGAAGAAATGTTAGAAGAATAAAGATTTTTGGATATAAAATGTTAGTATAGCTGCTATTGAATACCATTAGAGAAGCACATACATCAGTTCTATTTACTCCATCTGTAAGTGTCAAAATGAAACTTTTTGTTTCATGTCCGTATATGAAAAAAGAACGGTGACATATCTTGGAGTGAAAACAGATTCGAATGAAGTAGTTAAAAACGTACTTAATAACAATATTGAATTTTCTTGTTTCACGATTCTTCTTTCGATAAGTGCTGTTGAATGGATTCCTTGAATTCTCGCGTAAATAAGGAGTTCGAAAAATACAAAAATACCTGTGATCAATGTTCTAGAGAGTTGTTTTAAATAGACGTTTTTTTTCTTCTCACATAGAATTTAACGGCTAAAATCGGTTTTTGTCGCTTTATTTTATTTCCAATCGGTAAACTGTCATGTAATTGTAGACTATACATTCAAATATATAGTCAATTAAAAGTGAGACATAAAACAAATTAACACTGTTGCTATTAGTAAAAAACTAATATTTTGTCAATAATTACTACAATAGATTATAATATGATCATATCATTCCAAAAAGAGTGTATCAGTTAACAAAGTGTACACTATACACTGTTTCATTCATATATTGATCTTGTTTAAATTAACTCTTTTCTTTTCTTAACAGTCATCCATCAAAACAAAAAATATAAACGCAATTTTTCTTTTATCCCATATTATATCGTAGAGAACTGAAAAAAAAAAAAAAAAATATTTGAATTTAAATTGAAAGTGATGGTTAAATGTACAAAACAAAACAAAAGTGACGTAATGAAAATGTGGTCATGGTTCATATCTTTTTAGTGAAATAAAATTTCAAATTTATAAGTAATTTAAAATATTGTTAGACTTTTATAAGAAAAAAATTTTGAACACCTTAGTTTTTATTATTTTCTCTTAATAAGAATGAGAAATTATCTATTATTAATAGACTTTTTTCTAGAAAAATATTTTTGTCAAGTAAGAAAATCTGTGATAGAGAAAAATTCTTGCTTTCTCGTTTCTTTACAATTGATTATTATTGAGAGAAAAGTTAGTTTGTGCTAACTGATCTTCTATCGTTTCTTTAATGTTGACATGGCACGAAAACATAATCAATGTAATGTACACTTTATAATTTAACTTATAAAACCTGTAACAATTGTTATTCCTGAAAGAAACGAGCATAGAAACCAGGATCATTATTGAGGTTTTATTTACACACTGTGGCTGTTGTCATTCATGTTTTATATAAAATAGGATGTAAATTTAGCTATGTGATTACAACAATAACCTCTTGAATTAGGTTTAATTTACTTTTTAAATATACGCAGTTTATTATTAAAATTGTTTAAAACAAATTGGAATAATTTCATAATTAAAATGCAAGAGCATAACCTTTAGAAGGATTGCAGTAAACAAGAAAAGAGAGACATGAATATTTTTAATTTGTTGTCCCAGAAATAGTTTTTTTATTCACCAGAGCACCTTCCAGATGATCAAACTCTTTTAATTAAAAACCAGGTTTTCGAGAGTAAACCTTGATGCTAATCATGAATCTGGTATTCATTTGGGTTTTTCACTACTTGTCTCCAAAAATCTGGTCACTGGAGATCTACTTCATAGTTTTAGTCAAGCTCTGACATCGTCAGTTTCTAAAGCAACTCGAGTCACATATAAGAGACAAATTTCTTAGACTTGCCGAATAAGTTTTTACTGAGTTAGAGTATCATTAGTCTTGCACTTCCGTGTTTTTACCTATTGTTGAAGTTTATTTTACATAAATTTTTTTACTTCAGTAAAACCTTATGTGGCACCTCTAAAAAATTTGTCTCATATTCATCTGGTCCACCTATCCAAACAGACAAAATAACAATCGATTTTACAGCATTTTCGTACTTTGCAACACTTTCAAACTCATCTAATTGTAATAAAGTACGAAAATCGTGTAAATGTGAGGAAGCTGTTGTTGACTCGAGTGACTTATTGACTTATGTGACTCGAGTTGCTCTATAAATCAGAGCCTGACAAAAACTATGAAGTAAATCTCTAGCGACCAGATTTCTGAAGGCAAGTAGGAAAAAATCCTACTCGACAAACTAGTTTTAATCCGAAAAGTGTTTAGTCACCTGAGAAGGCTCTCTCGTAGGATTGTAACTCACTATTGTTCAAAATGTCTATTTCGACGAAAAATAACATTTTAAAGTATTCTTTGCCTAAGTTTTATAGAGATATTCTGACTAATTTGTTTACCTACAACAAAGTTTTTTGTAAGGCTATTATTTAATACTCCACTCGATTCGATTCAGTGCGATTCGTTCATCATGAATATCATATTTGTTTTACTGAAACATGTCTTATGAGTGAGAATTTTCTAAGCAAACAATACCACAAAAAAAATTGTTTTTGACTCTCAGATACTCTACAGCATCGATACTATGAATATTCTGTCATCGAATGTTTGTTTTTGTTTCAAAATTATTAATTTTTCCTCAAATAGAAATGCAATAAGTATAAGAATAGTAAAAAGAAGCGTATTTGATGCTAACAGAAGAAATGGCAGTCGGTGAATGTTGATCATCAATTAAAAAGTAGAATTAATTACATTTTTTGTTATAAATAAAAGTGGAAAAGAAAAAAAGCAAGCTGAGTTAAACCGTTAAACGATTTCAGCATACACAAGTCAACGACGAATACTGCAAAGGAATTCAAGTTGAAACAGAACGACAAACGCTATAAGAAGTATTGCCAACTAATTTCATGAACTTGAAGTGTACTTCAGCAGCTGTTAAATTAGACTGATCTGTTGATTATTTGATTGCAAATAGAAAATCGATGAGATTTTCTCTGAATCAACTAGAGAATTGACATTTATAATTTTCTTTTTCTCTTAATAAAAAATACGGTTGTTCAATAGAGGTCTGCAGGGTCAAACGTTTTTGGCTCCGATCCAGTGAAGAAAAAAATTTTTTGTTTCGATTCCTGTTCCGTGGAAAGAACTCGTTTGGGGTCCCGATCCCGTGGTTCCGTAAATATTTTTTCAAAGTAGCGCTGATAGTTTGAAAGTCAGCGCGTTGTAATGTGGCATGTGGAACAGCATGCGTGGGTCGTATTAATTGAAGACTTTTAGAATTTTCTATGAGCTCTTTCTCGCAGAACTGGTGCCTACATACAAACAAGCACAGAAACTAAGAAATTTTTATGCTGCATATAAGACTATTTTCAAAAAAACCTGGTCCCGGTCGCAATGAGAGTTCTGCAGAACCGGACCATCCCACAGGATCGGGACCGTCCCGCAGATCTCTAGACCCCGATCCCGTAAAAAATCCCGCGGGACTGGAGCTGGTACGGCCCTGCACCTCTAGTATTCAATATTACGCATCAAAAACGATATTTTAGGTAACGTTTTCCTTAACCAAACGGTTACAACAGATCAAAGACACCCACTGATAATTTTATTTATAACACAAAGTCTAATTAACTCTGCTTTTTAATTGTTGATTAACACTCCTTGACTCCCATTTCTTCTATAAGCATCAACGACTCCCTGTACTGTGTACATTTTCCTCATGCCAGGCGAACATGTCACCTTTTTGCTCAGAAACAATTTTTTTCGCTTGAATATAACTGACTATCGCTCAGAGAGTCATTTGAGAGCAAAAAAACTTTTTTTGACAAAAATATCCCTGAGGGGTACCCCTTTCCCCAATTTTTTTATAAAAAGTTTTTCCTTTAAAAATGTTTATGTCATACATCATTCGATGCAGTTTTCTCGCTGATTTTGAATATAACCTTAGATTTTGGTTAAAAGCTCTCATAGGTCGAGAAAATTTGATTTAGCTGAAAAACCAGTATCTAAGTCCAGGGACGCTCGCGCAATTCGACGCAAGAGTAATAGATGTAGCATGTGTAGCTAAACATTTTGACATTGAAATCTTGAAAACACGCACTTTCGATTTTTGCCTAAATGTCCGACTGGATGCACACTGTGCCCTGCCATCAAATCAAGCATACCGGTCCATTAACATCTGAAATACGGCGTAAACTAAATACTAGTGATCTGAATAAAAATTGAAAAGAGCCACTCTCTAAAAAAAAAGGTACTCTACCGAACCTAAAAAGAGTTTAAACATTTATCACCATCTATATACTTTTTTAAGGTTTCATACAAACTACGAAACCTTTTAAGGTTTCATACAACACTCTAAATCCGTCACTGGAAAAAATTTGTGTAAAAACACAGAAAAACCTGTTTTCTCAGTGTTTCCAAGCTTTTCCCAGTCACGGATTTAGCTTAGTAAAACGGTATATAGTTTGTACGAAACCTTAAAAAAGTATATAGATGGTGCACAGTGGGCATTTAGGCGGCATTTTCTGAAAAAATCGTAGGTACGAAATTTTCTGTTTTGAATAGCGGTATATATAGTGTAAACAATGCCCTATTTAACAGTGAAAAAATTTTTGTTCTAGCT